CCTCAACTTCCCACAAGAGTTCCATCTCATTTCACTTACTCCTAGAATACTAATACCATACCTCTGCATCTCCTTGATCACCTGTGCGCACTTACCAGTACCTGCACCCTGCACCCTGCAAAAAAGACATGCCGTCCTTCAAGCGGCTGTTTCTTCAATTTCAAGAGTTCAATTCACGATCAAGCGAGTCGAGCGATCGAGAAAAACTGAAACCAGGGAACATAAATTAAATAATTCATCGCAGGTTACCAATATTTGATAAAACTTCCGTTATTAAAGCTCAGAAAAACTATCATCTTTAACGTTTTTGGAACAGAAAGATTTCGTATGCAAGACTTATAACAGAAATTTGTTAAAACTCTCATGTAAAAGTTTTGCTCGCCGACAACATTTAAATAGCTTTCGAGGCCAGAAAAGTTTTACAATGAAAACTAGTGCTAAATTTTATTGTTACCAAATCGCTGAAAAATTCTCTCTAAAATTCCCGCTATACATTACTGACCTCGAAAGGTTGATAGAGACCAGTTTGTTGTTTTTTGGTCCTTCTCCGAGTGCCGAGTGCCTTAATTTGTTCAACCAGCCGATTCAACTCCTGTTCGCTTGAATTCGCATATTTCTTAGGTGGAGGCCTGGCAAAAACTTAAGCTCGAAATTTGGTTGTTCACAGAAAAAATCTTCCCCATCTCCGGAAGAATTATTAGACTTTTCCATATTTTAGGAGAAGAAAAATAAGAATTATCTTTTACAAAGTGTCAAAATCGATAACAACATTGCCGAAAGTACAAATAAACAAACTGACGTGAACGTGCAACCCACGGACAAATGGGTCGAGCGTATTAGCCAATCAGAACGCGCGCCTCGCTAAGGCTATGTTATAACATGTAAATAAAGTGACTTTACTAAGTAAGCAGAATTAGGTACATCCGGAGCGGAAAAAGAAACCGAATGGCGATGTCGGACAATGTAAATTTAACTATGAATGGAGCACAGCCATCTAACTGCTTCAATCCAATAGCAGAAAAAATTGGAATGACCTTTGCTTACTGCCTGATTTTCATTGTTTCTTTGGCTGGGAACGCCACCATCGGAATAATTGTCTACAAGACGCAAACCATGAGAAAACCTATCAACTTTTTCATTGTAAACATGGCCATGTCCGATCTGCTGGTTCCGATGATTTGGATCCCTACGGGAATACAAAAGCTCTATATAGACTCCTGGCTGATCGGTGGTCCTCTTGGCCAGGCCTTATGCAAGCTGGTTTCCTTCTTCAAAGATGTTTCCGTTCTTGTGTCTATTCAGAGCCTGGTTCTGATAGCAGTGGATCGATTTGGTGCTGTGGTATATCCTCTCCGTTCTCCACTCATCAGTTCAAAGACGTGCCCGTTATTCATTATCGCATCTTGGATCGTCGCGATAGCTGTTAACTCCCCAAAGCTCTTAGTTTACAAACTTGTTAAATATCCAGAAAAACTGGTTTGTAAGCGGCGTTGGAATGAAGTGTTTGGAGAGTCCTCATCTCATGAGAATTACCTCTTGTCTTTTACAGTTGTATTCATGTTTATCCCGTTGGTGTTGATAGCCATACTTTACATTATCATCTATCTAAAGCTCAAGTCACAGAAGATCCCAGGCGAGCAATCAGCCAACGCTGGACAACAACGCCAACAAAGGGAGCGAAACGTGTTAAAGATGGCCATTGCTATAGTGTTAGGGTTTGCAATGTGCTGGCTTCCTCTCGCTATTTGGATTATTCTCGTCTCGTTTACGGACACCATCATATGGTCGAATTGTGCCTTCCGATATTTTTTTTTATATTGTCAATTTCATGGCTCTGGTAAATTGTGCCATAAATCCTTGTATCTGTTTTATTTTCAGCGGAAATTATCGTAAAGAGCTTAAGGCTCTCGTTAAATAAATTATTTTGACTTCCGCCGTAGCTGATGATGCTTATGTACAGTGGTGATTTTCATTCGACCTAAAACTCGTAACAACCTAAATTCAAAACTGCTTTTTATTTGACTAAATGTAAACTATGGCTGAAAGAAACTTTGTAGAACGGCTTTAAACCTTTCTTTGGACACTGACTTTGCCATCCTTTTGTAGTTATTCTGCACGCTCGATTTGTAATTTCTTAACTTCATGGGACATTTTCAGCCGTCTTAAGCCGCGCAAATAATATTTATTTCAATACCGCTTTTTGTGTGGCTCAATATGCGGCTGATAAACCTCCATATTCAAGAAAACCCCCGGTGTTTTATTCTCTGCTGAGCTCATTATATATTTGTTTGCCACCTGTTTCTGAAGCCACCTGTTTTTTGATCGCTCATTGTTTTTGCTTCATTAGTAGGACTCAGTCGGGAGATATTTCCTAACAGGAGTTGAGGTCCATAAGGTCCGAGAGGCGCAAAACCGCATATAACCGGAGGGTCGCTGAGAATAAACTAAATGTCCCATTGCCGCGCGCAAACTACATTACAATCGAAGGAAACTTATAAAGAAGTCGTGGATACATTGCTTACAAAATGAAGAGGACTCCTTTGATCAGCTACTATATGCTTGACCGGGTTTTCAAAATAACACGGTCATGAAAAAAGTCAAAATAATTCTGCCCTTGAAGCACAATATATTCAGGATTTTGTTTATTACAATTTAAACGTTTATCCCACTCCTAACACCTCTGTGGTCTTTACAAATTTCCCGGAACACCTTGACCTGCGGGATGTTTGCGTTACCGTAGATAGATTTGTTTATATCCAGCTTTGTAACTGCGTTTCTTATTGTTTGTCACAAGAAAGTTATGGTTGGATACTATGGACTTATAAGTTGTCCTACTTATGTTTCCAATTGTTTTGTTTTGGTTTGTTTTGTTATGATTGATTCATAATTTTGCTGATATAGTGCTAGCCCGAGAGTGCTAGGAGGTTCTTTCATAGTTTTACTCATAATATTCACTCACAAATTAAGGCTCGCTATCTGGCCAGCTGGAAGTTATAAACTCCCTTTGAGCTTAGAGGATTCACGAGCTAGTGTCTCAGGAAGTTCAAAAAGACTCTTCGCAGTCAATATCCACACACATTGCATCTCTTCTCGTGGATAAATTAGCAATGAATGTCTAAAATGCTATACTTCCCGTCTGATAAAACTGCACCTTGAGTCAACTATAGGGAGTTCCCTCAGCTTGATGCAAAACAAAATAAAAAGGGTATTGCAGATTGTAATGTGGACAGTAAAAATAACAATGGTTTTCTTTCTTGGAAACGGAAATCACAGTATTTTATCCCTATCTTGGCAATTGTTTTTGTTCATTTCACTAGCAATGCAGAAATATTCAAAACGATTGTTGACAGGTACAATTGATATTTATTTCAAGTCTTGATTCCAATTGTTTACATATCTCGTTTCTAGAAGAAAAATGAACTCATACGTACATCACCAGCCACTATGCCTGCTTGACATGGCTTGTGTTTGGCATGATTGGAGAGTAAATCTCTCTCGCAAAAAGTAGATCTACGCAGACTCTTGGATGGTAATNTTGATTCATAATTTTGCTGATATAGTGCTAGCCCGAGAGTGCTAGGAGGTTCTCTCATAGTTTTACTCATAAGATTCACTCACAAATTAAGGCTCGCTATCTAGCCAGCTGGAAGCAATAAACTCCCTTTGCGCTTAGAGGATTGACGAGCTAATGTCTCAGGAAGTTCAAAGACTCTTCGCAGTCAATATCTACACACAGAAAAGGTTTTATCCTTTCATATACATGTAGCTTCCATCTTAAAACCCCTTTCACAAAGTAAACCCATTACATCTCTTCTCGTGGATAAATTAGCAATGAATGTCTAAAATGCTATACCTCCCGCCTGATAAAATTGCACCTTGAGTCAACTATAGGGAGTCCCCTCAGCTTGATGCAATACAAAATAAAAAGAATATTGCAGATTGTAATGTGGACAGTAAAAATAACAATGGTTTTCTTTTCTTGGAAACTGAAATCACAGTATTTTATTCCTATCTTGACAATTGTTTGTGTTCATTTCAGTAGCAATGCAGAAATGTTCAAAACGATTGTTGACAGGTACAATTAATATTTATTTCAAGTTTTGATTCCAATTGTTTACAGATCTCGTTTCTAGAAGAAAAATGAACTTATACGTACATCACCAGGCACTATGCCTGCTTGACATGGCTTGTGTTTGGCATGATTGGAGAGTAAATCTCTCTCGCAAAAAGTAGATCTACGCAGACTCTTGGATGCTAATTTGTCTAATATCCGTCACTTAAATTTTAGGGCATATTTACTCGATCGCGGATGCTGACTTGTATTCCATTCATGAAGAAATTTTCACTCTGGTCGAACTGCATAGAATGACGATATGTAGTGTGAAGAACAACAAAACTAAAAGATAAAGCAATTTGAATTTTTTTTTTTTAAATTTAAGTAAGCTTATTTTAAAATACAAATTAAATCACACGTTTCGAATTGAAGATACGAGCTCTACCAGAATTTTAATATGCACATACAAAATATTACAGTACAGAAATGGGCTACCTTAGGCTTACCTTGGACTCTACAGGGAGTGAAGGCGAATGGAAAAGCATCAAATTTCCTAGCCAAGAAAAAGCTAAAACCCTATTAAATGTCCACGTCTACTTTCCTGACTTTTCCTGACTTGTATCAATTCTTTGACCTTGCCGGCCGCGCTGTTATGACCGATACACGACCACAGTCATAAATACCTCTCTCAGCTTTCATCTGCGTGTGAGAAGCCAACAGGCAAAATACTACATATTTTCAAAAGCAAAACTCATGAACCGCTAAAATGGCCGCTCTCAACTTTGGAGGTCTTCGAGAAACTCGTACCCAGGTTCTCCATGTGATCGGCCAAAAGTTTACATCTGAGTGAGTGAAAAAATTGCATATTATGCCCCATGACAATAGTCGTTTTTACGCTTCGCCTATCCACGACTAAAACTAGCTTTAGCTATAGTGGCACCATTCCTTGTGACTTTAGGGAAGCAGAGTCCATGAGGCATTTTAAACGCCTATTCAAAGGAGATGTATAAAGCACGGCATTCGTGGATAGCAGCTTTTTTTAAGTATCGTTAAATATTTGATTATTTTTATTATATTATACATTAGCAATGAAATTTGAGCCTGAATATATTACTACACTCGGGCTATTTCCCGCTATTTAGGCCCCAAAAGGAAGCTGAAAACTCCATCCTAATTTCCAATCCGTTCATGCAATTACTCTTGACGCTGGACGAAAAGATGGATTTACTCAACTTGAAAACGTGAGCAAATCTGATGGAAATATAGTGCTCTGAATTTGACACATATTTGCGCTTTGATGCAAAGTTGACACAAACAACGAGATTTGCTTCTGTTGAATTTGTGTGCAAATATAATGTAAATCTGACATTTGATCTTGATTTGCCTCAGTTTTGAAATGAAGGCAAATATACAACTTTCACACAAGTCTGCTATAGATTTGCCCACCAAACCAAAATTAGAGTTTTCACTACAAGAGCAAATCTGGGCAAAAACAATGCAATTCTCTTCTGTAGATAATCACTTGAATTGTACAAAAATATAAAATTTCTAAGCAGTTTATTCACATTTGCAGGAAAAGCAAACATTTTTTTGCACTTGTTTTGTTTTTGTTTGTACTGAAAATGTTGCATGAATATACAGTATTTGCAATCTAACTAGTAGTTTCATCCTGTTTGTTTCACAGTTGTCATTGATAGTATTTTTTTGTCTGTATAGTTTTCACTGACTGCCAAAAGATGACTGCATCTCTGCAGAGGGCTTCCCAGAAATGACCACATTTTGAAAACCCCGTAGTGAATACTACTAAAACAAACAAAAAAGTCCCATCATTTAGTCACATTTGACTTGTGACTGGTATGCATAAACTGAATTCTATGAAAAGCCTTTTGTATAACCTTAGGGCAATCAAAAGCCCTCAAACCAATGATAATAAGTGTAAAAAAAGCTTCCACATATTTATCTTAAGGTGGTAACAGTGACTATATTAATATCAATTTTCCCTTCCTGCAATATTGCTTTCAACCCACATGTACAAGTATGAAATACTTAAATAAGTGTGACGTGAGTGGAACAAATGAACTTTTGATTGAGTGCATTGTCATTGTTGAAATGGTTATGTTCTGATAGATAACAGTTGTTTCAATATCTCACCAACCACCTGATGTGATGGCTATTTAATTGTTGTGTTATTCAATCATTTATGCCAGGTTGTGGGATTGACATACATGTACAACGCACTAAGCTTGAACAATACTTGAACATTGTTCATTTCCTCCTCTGTTTTATAACTAATTCTTGACATTCATTTTCTTTTAACAGAAGCGACAGAAACGAGCCAAGGCCTTGAGGGAGTCCACTTCCATCAGGCAGGAAGATAAAGATAAATTTAAAATCTGCATAACAGTAGACTATATGTCATCAGAGGAGTCACTGTCAGAGCCTGAAAGCTTAAATCACCAGGAAGATGACTCCTCAGGTTCAGACTTAGAGAGTTCGTCAAAGAAAGTCCTCTGTATAAAGCCTCTCCCTTGGAGGAGTAGAGAGTTGAATGTAGTGATGACCAGTCTCGACCGTAAAAATGCGTGACGAAGGTCTCAGAGGGGTGCAAGCATGCTCATTGAAAGGAGGCAAGGACCACCATCAACTCGGGCAGCACCAGATGATGCCCCTGAGTTTGCACTGTCAACAAGTTAATAAGTTCTACAGTCTACTGTATATTTTAATAGAAAATTTATGAAATGAAAATAATAATGAAAGAAAATAATTCAATTTGTTTTGCTGTGCTTTTGCTAGTTATCAGATCATTAATAAATTTATAAGCACCAAAAATTTTCCTTATGGTGGAAGGAGTTAAGACATAAGCGAATAGTTTACATTGATTTCTTAAAGGAATCTTGGCTGTAAAACATTATGGCATATAGGAATTTTGAAATCCTAAATAGCAGAAGAGAAATGACCAGCATTCAAAACAGGCCAAGAATAAATCAACTTTCAGTGAAACATCAATCTGATTTAGGAACAAAACTGTTTCGTAGACATGATTCTCTTTAACAAGGTTTAGAATCAGACCTTTTTCAGTTTTGAAATACAATGCTATGCTTTAATCAGGTATACTGTCATCAATAGATTATTACTAGTAATAGCGGCTATTACTAGTTGCACAAAACAGCATAGTAATATTATGATGCAGCATTTGTCTGGTTAAAATTAACCCATGGCCTTTTTCCATGCACCAGTAACCTTTTGAAATTATTCAAATAAGTAAATTAAGAAATTAAGAGT